GTTTCAGTGATACATGCGTCCTACATGCTTTAAACTACTAATGACGCATAGAGATCACCATTTATTTGGCAGTTTTTATTTCTCATAGCCAGGTGAAGACCCTAGCAGAGAACAGAACGCAATGGAGACGCACGGCTGAAGCCCTATGTTCCTGTAGGAATTAAAGGATACAATAATAATAATAATAATAATTTCTCATAGTATACTAGAGACCAAACAACAAAAAATGCAGTATGACCTCTGCAACGAAACATCAGCTTAAATTCGCGGAAGCTTTTCTTCGTTAATTTTCTCTCGTCTCCAGTCGTCATATGCAGTGTCCAGAAATGCCTTGAGTGCAAAATACCATCTGCCCGGGTAGAAGATAATCGCTTCCTTTCAAAGTCTGAAGATTCAAGACTATAATTGACTGACACAACGAATCAGTCAGAGAATTTTTTCAGACCTGGAATATGTGGGTTAAAACATGGGGAAATTTTCCGCTCGAGGGCCAGTGAATTCTCAATGCAAACTTTAGACTCATTAATCTGAGTTTCCTCAGGTTTATATTTCGCAAAATGATAAGAGAAAGGAGCTTAAGCATCAGACTCACACGGTGGATTTGAATTAGAGCAACCTTCGCACTCACGCAATCGCGATCGAGCTCCGTCCATTTCGAATTAACCGCGCCACACACTAAAGTGTCTTACCGCTGTGCTGAATCCAATTTCCAATATCATATTTTGCGAGCTGAAGTAAACCAATTCGATTTCTTTGTGCTCGCCTCTCGGTTGTGTAGTAAAGGTACCTGTTAGTCAGTAGACGTTTGCGTAGTTCGATATGAGGGAAGAACATTCTTCCCAGTAAATTCTCCTAATGTGATTATAAGTGTTAAATATAATACTTATCGTTAAAAATAGACTTTCAATCCATGACATGAGAATATTTTGCACTATTGAGTCTTATAATCCCCATGAGTATCCTGTTGAGGACAATGTGTTCAGTGAATTCCGAAAGCTCATCGTGTGACTCCCTGAATCAAGAATATGTGGTGAATTTATACAGAATTGTATCCAGAATAATTGATATCCCAACATTCCCTTGAAATATGTGTGCATGCGTCCTAATGAACAGACTAGTTTATAAGATGTTAAACCCTTAAAGAGTAAAAAGAATAGGTTTCGTGAATACTGGAGAAAGATTCAGCAGAACACTATAGTTAGAGTTCAATGTAGGCAGTATGAACTGAAGGTAAGGTCGGTTGGCAGGACTTATTGTACTAAATTATCATGAAAGTCTTTTATATAGTAAACATTTTACATTGCAAAGTAACCTGTCTACACATATTATAAAAAGATATTATACAGAACCAACAGAATTTTAACATTTGGTTAACAATACTGCAGTTTGTGTATACTGAAGGAGCGTAGTTAGTCTTACAGGGAGTCGTAAAGTAAATCAAACTATGTATGATAAGAGTGTAATCAATATTATAATTCGTATCATCAAAAAATACATTAAGCTCAGTAATTGAGTGTTATAAGGGAAACAAGCGTGGTACAGCAGGAGAACATTTGCTGCATAAATATTTTAATCATTTTCAGTATTGTAATGACAATTAAATTTCAAGAATTGATTATGCACAATTACTAAGTATTATTATATTAGTATTGGGACTAGTGTGCTTTCCATAGTTAAATATTGAAATGTCATTGTCTCACCACTATACCAGCAGTTTTCATCTTTTAGACGGTTAGGGTGGACATGTTAATATGTTTTTCTAGGCTCCTTTTAAAACTGTCAGGCTTTTCACAGGATCTAATCTCAGAGGGTAGCTGGTTCCAAAGTTTGCAATATTTAATGGTGAAAAAGTTAGCTCTAGTGGTGACTTTATTGGTGTTAACCTTGAGAAGGTAGTCATGGTTGCGTAGTTCATGCGATTTAAGATTAGCCCACGTTATGGATGAGTTACTGTTACGGTGCTTTCTTATAACTTTGAATAAGAGAAACTTTTTATTATCTTTTTATTTTGATTACAGCTTGATGCCACACCGTATTTTCAGTACAAGTATGGAATTTTCAGCATGTGATATCGGTAGCCCAAATTTTGCAGGCCGACCATAGACATCGGGTGTGCGTCGGCAGGGGATCGAACTCTCCTTAACCATAAGGGTTCTAAGTCCAGTCGAATACATCTGTCAAGGTATTCTATTTGCTGATCATGGCCTAATATGCGTTTCGTCAGGGATCTTTGGACACTTTCAACTTTTTTTCTGTCTGCTGATTTAAAGCTACTGTATAAGTGGGCACAGTATTCAAGTATATTCAAGTATGCAAGAGGTGGTGGAGTGGCAACCTTCATTCATTCTCAGTGGTCAACATCAAATAATGTATGTTTTTCTTTCTCCAGTGACTTTATTGATTGTATTACAGTCAAAAGTCGCTCGAAACACTTATCCAAGTTTAAATACGTCTTCATCTCAAACATTTATGTTACTCCTGGCTGTTCTGCCTCGGATCTATCTGATTTTGCCGGTGAATTCACAGCATTCGCTGTTACACATCTTGAAAACTCTTTATCAGTTGTCACAGGAGATTTCAATACCTGTGACTGTTCTTTTCTTGAATCATTAGGTCATGTCAATATTGTCAAATTTCCAAATCGACTTGATAAAACGCTGGATCTGGTATTTACTGATGATGCGGAAATATATGAAGCACGCAAACGTGCTCCTTTAATGAACTCTGATCATTGTATTATTCGGATATTACCCAAGATATATAGCAGATATCACTCTAATATCCTCTCGAATCTCTCCAGAAAAACACAACAAAGATGTTACTCACAAGAAAACGTGCTCAAACTAAGACGTATGTTCAATGACACAGACTGGGATCTTTTCACTGAACACACACTGGATGATACTATTTCCAACCTGACTGACTTTCCTAAATTCTACCTTGATGTATGCTGTCCAAAACAGATACTTTTCAAAAGAATAGACCATTTCTCTTCCCTTCATCTCAAAAAGCTTCGAAGAGGAAAACAGAGACTGTACAAGCCTAAGGATAAAGCTGGTCTTAGGAGGATAAACTTCCAAATTAAATCCGAAATCAAGAGGCTAAACAATATTTATAATCAAAGAATTTTGTCATGTAAAACTCCTGGGAACATGTGGAAGCTTTTCAAAGAAATTACAGGTTGTGGTAAGCATAGTTCTTGTGCCCCCTCTATTGATATAAATACTCTTTTATCCGCCCTCCTAATATACCCTTTTAGCTTCGATGTAACAAATAACATGACCAGTGACTTTAATAGTTTTAAAACTTCTGATGTTCTTAAATGTTTAAAATCTCTTAAACCTTCCCAGAGTCTAGGCCCTGATGGTATACCTGCCACTGTCCTAAGGAAATGTGCTGATATTTTAAGTAACCCACTTACAAACATTTTCAACACTTCTTTTTCTAATAATGTTGTACCTTCTCTGTGGAAAGATATTAAAATCATCGCTGTACCCAAGTCAGGTTCTGGTAATAATGCTAAGTTTAGACCTTTAGGTGGCTGGTATCGAACGTTCGCGTGTTGTACGGATTATACTAACGCAAGATCTTATACCAACAACCACTATAGTGTTCGTTCTTCGAGTACCAAATGGTAAAGCAAAAGACCAGATTTTGTCGTCCAAATACGATATATATTTTGGGACCAAATCGCGGGTAGGAATGAATGCTTAGCTAGCTAGTAATCGTGCACGCACGTGACACGACGGAGCACCAAATGGCGGGGATGCTTGACCGTAAGCCTTCAGCTAAACAAGTCGACTTAAACAGTGATGGTCAGCATCCAATGTTGAGTGATGATTGCTGTGGTTAATAATTTTGGGGAATTATTTACCGCTACAGCTCACTCCCCCCCTAGTGGGTTTGTGAGGACCTTAAGACATGACCAGCCGGAAGTAAAAAATCTCGATGGTTCCCTGACGGGTGAAAAAAATCTTCCGAGCGGCTTGATGGAGTGCCTGCTGGTCTGTCTTCCTATGCTAATAGGGTGTCTGTACATAGCTTCCTCAGTGTTGTTCGTTGGATCCCGTGCTTCGTTTGTTTCCTGTCCAGTGTCCGTTGCACCTGGAAAAGAAAACAAGAATGCTGAGAACCTTGTCAAGAAAAATGTACCAAATAAGCGTTTTTTTTTACCAAAAAAATATGACATGCATCTACTATACAGTAAAATAAGTAAAGTTCAAAATATCGGGAAAAAAAATATACATCTTATATAATTTTATGTACGGTTATAGGAAAAATATCATTTACTTGTGTTAAATGACGCAACATAGAAAAAAATTGATGTGTCACTCAGTTATGTGAGATAGGTGTGAAGGTATTCTGGAAATCTAACGTGACGTCCAGAACGCGTTTTTTTAGAGTGATCGACCGAAGGTTCGGTGGCTTTCGCCGTGCTAGGGAGTTCTTCGAAGACTGAAGTAGATTCAATTACTTGTGAATTATCGGGTACGTTTAGCTCCAGGCTAATGGGATTACCTTCCAAGTAAGCTGGTTTCAGACGGTCGATACAGCTCACTCCCCCCCTAGTGGGTTTGTCAGGGGCCAGTCGTCGTGCTTTAGATGTCACGGGCTGTCCTGAGGTTATGATGTGGTGCATAACATTGCTGGTTATACACGGGAGATCGTTAGATGGGCAATTCAGTTCCGGATATTTGTCAACAATCGGTTGAAAAGTTGGATCGGGGATTGCTTTCATCTTAACGATTGACAAGCTGGGGCCTATGTAAGTTATGCCTTTGATAGACAAACTAGTAGTGTTGTCAATTAATCGTTTACGGCGGACGTCTACGAGCAAATCATGATGATTAAGTAGGTCCGTGCCAATGATGGGCATTGTGACGTCAGCGATCAGAAAAATCCACCGAATAGGTTTGCGTAAACCTACGTTCAGATAGACGTATTTCCGACCATAGGTTGCAATTGGTTTTCCATTTGCAGCCTGTAGGTTGAAGTTAGGATCCTTCTGTCGATCTGCTGCTGTAGCAGGAAGGACGCTGACTTCGGCGCCTGTGTCGACTAGATATCTAGTCTGGCTAATTACATCATGGATGTAAAGTAAGCGGCTAGTGCCACCGGCGACGGTTGCCGCTAACGCGTGCCGGCGGGATAGTTTCCCACAGACTTGGAGGCTTTGCCGAAATCACAAGGTTTTCGACAACATTTCGCTTCCTTGCCATAGGTGTTGTGATACCAACACCAGTCAGGATTTTTGAGAGAGCGTGTGTTGGACTTAGATCGTCCACATGCGCTTTGCCGTTGAGGGGATTTAGAACGACGATAGGAGGAATTGCTAGGCTTGTTTGACCTAAGCATCTGCTGGACGGAGTTGATTAACTCTATCATTACCGAATCCTTCTTCGAAGCCTGTTCGGTAACTGAGTATACTTCGGTAACTGGCCGTTTCGTTATCTCTAGAATTCTATCTGCAGAGACAGCTAAATCATCTATGAGAACACCCTGAAGTGTCACAAGTACAGTCTGAACTGACTGTGGCAGTTTGGATAGAAATAGTTCTCTAAACAGTCCTTCATCGAACTGACTTTGGCCAATGATCTCTTTCATTCTTGCCAGCATGCTCACGGCTGACTGATCTCCTAACTCGATGTTACGAAATAACTCATCAAGACGTTGTCGATCTGTGAGAACGTTTCTCTTGAGGATGGATGCTTTTAGCAACTCGTACGAGTTACTTACCGACATCTGCAGAGTTACGCACTTGCTGAATTCCCGCGGTAGGGCGTGAATAACTGCAAGGAACTGTGAACGTTGATCAGTTATGCCATGTTCACAAAAATCAGACTCAGCAATCTGAAACCACGTTTCAGCATTATCTGGCCAAAATGGTACTAGCTGAATTGTTTTGGCGGTTGAGCGAATCTGAATAACCTTGGGGCTAGGATCACTCATGACGAAAAGTATGCCGATAACAATATAGTACAAGAATAAACACAAAAAGGAACGAACTCACCGGGTTTATCTGCGTGTGAATTGAAGATGTAGTTCGTGGTTGGGCTCACCAGTTTAGGTGGGCTGTAGGTATCGACGTTGGCGTGTTGTACGGATTATACTAACGCAAGATCTTATACCAACAACCACTATAGTGTTCGTTCTTCGAGTACCAAATGGTAAAGCAAAAGACCAGATTTTGTCGTCCAAATACGATATATATTTTGGGACCAAATCGCGGGTAGGAATGAATGCTTAGCTAGCTAGTAATCGTGCACGCACGTGACACGACGAAGAGCACCAAATGGCGGGGATGCTTGACCGTAAGCCTTCAGCTAAACAAGTCGACTTAAACAGTGATGGTCAGCATCCAATGTTGAGTGATGATTGCTGTGGTTAATAATTTTGGGGAATTATTTACCGCTACAGACCTATCGCTATTACCTCCCCTTTTTTGAAACTAATGGAGAAATTATTGTTACTAAAACTTGTTCCCTCCCTAAGTTTCTCAAACGACCAAAAGCAGTTTGCTTACAAACAGGGTAGAAGTACTTTGGACGCTGCTGCTGTGTTTCATCACAACATTGTATCCTCCTTAGACAAAGGGGCCAAGTGTGTCCGTTGTACGTTCCTTGATTATATATTTGGTTTCGACTCTGTACCTAGGAGCCTATTGTTAAACAAACTTAGCCTTATACAAACTGAGCCCTGGGCTATCAAATGGCTACACTCTTACTTCTCTAATAGGATGCAGTACACGGTATATAATGGTGTATCTTCCTCTCCTTTGCTTACTGAAGCTGGAGTTCCTCAGGGTGCTGTTCTCTCTCCGTTTCTCTTTTCCTTCTACTTACATGATTTACCTATTTCAGACGAAATCAACTTCGTCAAATATGCAGATGACCTGTCTGTATCGTTTCCCATTAAGCCTCTGTCAGACTGTTTCAAATTAAATAGCTTCCCATCGGACATCAGTCAATGGTCTAAACTAAATGGCCTCATGCTGAATCCCTCAAAATGCCAGACTATTGACTTCTCCCCTAAGCATAAACGAGATCTACAAACACTAGTAAGTTCTCGTGAAACCTGTTGCATTGAGGGGACTAAAATTGAAACTAAGCCTAATGCAAAATACCTCGGTCTAGTTCTGTCTTCTGACCTTACTTGGACATCTCGTATCCTAACGATTTCTAAGAAAGTGTTCTGTCTTACCTACTACATTAAGAAACTTAGACAATCTGGAATCACCCAACCTCTACTTTCACAATTTGTCAACTCTTGTATCTCACCTATTCTACTTTACTGCTCCCCGTTAGTCTTTCCTGGTCTACTGAAAAGGACTGTGTCATCCTGAGAAGGATGTTGAAGGTACTTAGCAGGACTAGTGGTGTAAAACTCAGTCAGCTCGTCACTACATAAGTTGAAAGGAATCTGAATACATGCGAAAAATGGTCTAAGACCATACTCTCCGACCCTGAACACCACCTCTATTCCCAACTCTCGCCTTGTATCTCATCAAGTAGGACCAGAAATCAGTATAAAATAATTTATGCTCTTACAACCAAGTACAGGAACTCAACGAAACCATATTTGGCCCGTGTTCTAGGCGACAGAGACAATGTTAAACGCGAAACCTGTTGTAACAACAGAAGACAAGGGCCAGGCAACAGATCATTTATTAAGGAAATCAACACATATTTATATATTTTCATGTACATTACTTTGGATATTTAAGCAAACAAACACAGTCTTCCGATTGGTGGTTGTTTCTCACGTGAAGTTAATCTTTCATCTATTTGTGACTGTTTCTTGAATGTCAAATCCTCTATATGTTAACTGCATCCGCCTACGCAAAGTCTGCTGTGGTCGGTTTTGAATCAATCTTTGTTCACATTTTCTCACGACAAATCTTGGGAACGTAAATATTGACGTAAATTGCTGTCTACCAATTTGGCTAGTAGACAGCTCTCACCACACTATGACTTGCTTTATTGTTAATAACATAATTTTAGGCTCTTTTACTTCTCTCTTATTTTGTATTCTATAGTGAACTCCTTCTTAAACATACTTAGCTACCTAAATTATTACTGTTGTTTCAACCAAATTAACTGATCATCTTGGTGATAAACGTTCTTAAATATCATACCATAACTTCTTGTATGACTACAGCTTTACTGTCACCATGCACAATCATATCATAGCTTCTACGACCCAATACTGAGATATTATTCATTATGTTGTTTATTTTCCTTTCTACATCTTGGTATTTAGAACAAAATTATTTTTGTGATTTTTTTGTTTTTTTTTGTTGTTGTCTTTATATTTATTTTTTGAAATACTCCTTTTAAATGTTTGATAAAATCGGATGCGAATATTGTAGATGTGTGCTGAAAATTCCACACTGTACCACTAGTATTGTTTCTGGAATAAAGCAAATGATTATTAATAAAAAGGTAAGTAAAGGAGGAGAAGCTATATAGTACTTGAAATGATAGGATACATTTGCAATGTCTAAAGCTAACCATATTGGTCTAAGCACGGAAACAATGATGTTTTCGATGAAGATATAGCTTTGTTCAAACATTGGTGTTGTTGTGTCCTTAATCAAAGCAAGCAGATTTTGATCGAGCAACAAATATGAACAAAGAGCAAGTTTTGGCTTTAATGATGGCCTAGGCAGTTAACACAAAGTAGAGTATAATAGTGCGTAAATAAAAAGATCATCATAAGGTAGGTCGGTGATATTTCAGTGAGGAGTGAATTCCAAGATTTGGAAAATTAGAACCCATAGGACAGGCTGGCCTGTAAGATGTCTGACGAATTTCTGTAGGGCCCAGTGGGGCATCTTGACAAGAAGCTGGACAGGCTTGTAGATGGTAGGAGCAGGAGCACTTTTTTATTTATAATTTAGATCTGTTCAACCCTTATTATTTTTGTTTTTTTGTTGAGTGTCCAGACTAATGTTTTATTTCTCGAGCTGTCAAAAAATGCATGTTGCTGTCCTGCAGATCGGAGCGATTCACATTTGTGAACACTACCATGTCTGCTGACCAGCAGGTACTCGGACCACTTTCAGGAGTATCTTAGAAGTTACCTGAAGTATTTAGATTCTGCCATGATTTTCCGATCAAGTGACTCTGGTTCACTCGAAAACTGGTCTTATGGATGGATGCACTAAGTTGGTGATTTGCTGCCGCCAGCATCGTTTTCACACCAGATACTTCAAGTGTGCTTTCGAGTGTAGTAGTATTTGGTGTTATTCTTACTAAAGTGTTAAGTTAATATATATATATATATAGCTGAATATCATATGTGCTCTGGCTTCAGATATATTTAACTGCAGATATATGGTGGTAGAAAAAGAAGTGAGTGACCTATACCATTATAACACTGCGCCGCAGGTGAGATCTGTGTGAACCTTTAGCTTTCAAATTAGGCAGTTCGTCATAAAGTTTTCACCCTGGCAGTCGAAGGGCAGCCGATGAATACATCAAAGCAGTGCAATTAATCACCAACCATTACGTTACTGAAATGTCTGGACGAGTCCTCCAATTTCATGATCAATGAACGTGTTTTTCACAGAAGAACCGGAATAATGTATCTTTCAATTTCGCGGTCACTTTACAGTTAGAGGCCGTATACTGGAATTGAGTGCAAACACTCCCTCACTGTGGTACTAGATTTGAGTGTGAGTTTATCTCGCTTCTTGACGTCATAAATGTTGTTGTTCTATTATACTATCATGCGCTCTAATGCGTCCTCCAAACGACATCGCCGTGCAGACACTAAATGTGATTTTTACCTTGGGAGCGACAGCTTTTGTGCGCAAATTCAGTCCACATAGAACACCGAAGTGTTAATTCACTGGGTGAGATTTCATGAGGTGAAATTCTCTGTAGGTTGCAGCTGTGGGTTGATTTCCCCTAAGTCACTAAAATGTTTTGGCAATCAATCCATAATTCAAATGCTTAGATGGAAGCAGCTTTATCACCTTAATAGAAGAAGAGAATTACGTGGTTTGACCTGACACCATTACCTATGTCTAGTTGGCAGCATTCTGCAAATTATTTTGCCTGCGTGATGCTTAATGATGTAATCGAATCAGGTCCTTGATTTCTCCTACGTTACATCACAATTAAATTTCCAACTTCTTGGACTGTGGTTGTGCAGTTACGCCTAGTTTACTGTAGGAATTAAAAGTACCTGGGTCTCCTTGAGAAATATGCAGCGTGAGATGACTGAGTGAGAGTTATGGAGATAGGAAGGAAACGGGATATCTTCCTCAATAGAAAGACTTGGCGATTTTGTTGATGGCCCATGTTGCTACGTGACTTGAAGACCACTTGCCAATCATGTTTCCTGAAATACTACTCCGGAAATAGCAGTTCAACACTTACCACCTCAATCAATTGGAGGGAGGGTAATTTTGATTCACTAGTTGAGTTTTAACACTACTCCCTGAATAAACTGATTTGATTTGAGGCAAAACAACATACTCGAGTAGCTGTAGTCAGTCAGCTGGGTGTATTCTAAACGTGGTGGAAGATTTTAAGCAGAACAGTTAATCTGTCATTTCGGCCTACTTGATGATATCGGAAGTGAGTTTGCGAGCAGCCTTCAGTACCGGATTTACGTCGTATAGTAGTGCTATCACCTATTTCACACAATTACGAAAAACTATTCACATCAATTAGTGTACCATCTATACTGGCATATTGTGTGATCATTTATGAAACACATGAATGGGAGCTTAGA